GACTCCGCCAGTGCGGATGCCGGGAGGCGCACAGCCTGGTCTCGCAGAGCGAATACCAGCCCCTCTCCAGGTTCCAAACCCAGATAACTTCAAAAGAAGTGGCTGATCAAAGGAGCCCCTGCCGGGGAGGCACCCAGCGAGGGTCCCACTGCGTGGGGTTCGACACAAGAGCTGGCACAGATGCGGCCATCCCAGCATCGGCGCCGGAGCTGAGGTGGCTGAACCACCTCGCACAACCTCCCACCACCCACTGCCACCCGAGGGCCCCGTGGTTTTGCTGTCCCCTCCTGGGTTAAAGCAACCAGACCCCCAAGGGGCAGGTATCCCTGTACAACAGCGGTTGGGTGCTGCTGCCGGTGCAGAGACCCAGCTGGGTTCCTGCCAGGTGTGACACCACTGTGAGCCCGGAGGGGACCCTCAGAGGAGGCAAATTGGGGCATAACTGAGAGAAATAAAATCAAAATTCCCCTCTTGTTATTTTCTCATTCGAAGAGTCTCCATTAGCCTTAGTTAAACCAACTTCAGGCAGGGAAGTCCAGCAAACTTCTCTAGTTGTCATCGTTCCATTAAGGGGTGCCTGCTGACTCTCCCAGCACCAGCACAGCCCTCATCGCACCCGCCAGATCTGCCCCAGGGTGCTGAGGACCCGGCTGGAAAGGGGGTGGTGGAAGTAACTGGTGATGCAAATACCACCCGGGCGAAGGAAGAGCCAGTTCCCGTCTCCTGCCAGCCAGGGGACACTGGGGACAAAGCCTCCTACCTGCTCCCACCAGCTCCACTGGCAGAGACCAGCTGACAGCAGGGACCCACCGGGTCCCAGCCCGGGCGCTCGGCTCCGGCACCCGCACCGGCCGCTGGCTGCGAGGAGGGGGTTTGCACAAGGGCAGGCGATGCCAACTGCTTCGCAGACAGGAGCAAAGCAGCCTTTTGATCTGTTCAGACACGCAGGCCCCACACGCGGCTCTGATCAGAGTTCTCCCTGTAGCACTGGCCCCCGTGAACATCCCTGCTTGCGAACAGGAGTGCAGCCGTCGCTACCAACTCCCTTCTCATTTTCACAGTTTCCGTGGAGCATTTCTGCTCTCTGGTTTGACAGGAGCTCGCATTCTCCCAGTGTGTTTGCCTGACTTTCACAGTAATATATTCAGCAGAACTGGATACGTTTCAAACCAGCTATTACACCACAGTATGTTCCAACACAAATATATGCAGTGTAGTGCAGCAACAATTCTTCTAGGAGTATTACTCTGTAACACAGATTTCAGAAAAACCACATTTCCCTACCTGCTCCGATGCCCACCGCACCTCCCTCGCAGTGCGAGGGCTTACAGAGCAGACCGCGCCGCAAAACGCTTCCCGGGCAAGCTTGCACGAAATTATTTAGAAAGAATAAATCCGATAAAAATTTAAGAAGTGGGAAATCCCCAGACGTTCAAACCGTGCGTCCAGCAACGCGTCGTGCAACACGCGAGCGGTTTCTGGCGTTTTCCTCGGTCCCTCACCCCTGGTGGGGATGGCAGAGCCGCCTGGTGCCTCCATCGCCGCCCCGAGCCCCGCCAACTGCAGGCAAAGCACAGGGAAACACAACGCTTTTCCCATTCACGGATGAAATACTGAGTAGGAAGTGGGAATTCTTCCTCTTCCCCCCCAAAACCAAGCAAAATATAACACAGAATTACAAGAAGTTCGTAGGGACAAACACGGTTTCTTGCTGTTTGCTTTTGCAAGAGCTCCTAGGGCGTGGGTGGCACCGTCACCTCACCCCAGCTGCCTGCAAGGAGTTAATGCCTTCCACAGCAATAAAGTGCCGAACAGACCCACGCTCTTTGGGGCAAAGCCGGCCTCTCCCCGGGCGCGCTGCCGTGCCCAGCCTAACGCAGCCCTCGGCGCTCCTCAGTGCCATTACAGCTCCCCGGATGATTATTTCAGAAGGAATCCTTACTGTATCTAAACTTGCCATTTAAAAAAAGAAAATCTACTGTGACATATGCAGAGCGGCAGGAGGAGTCAGAATTAAAATCAGAGTGTTAAAAGAAGAGAAGGGAGAAGAAACGAGCGCACGATCAGACAGGAGAGGAAAGAAAGGAGGGACTCTTCGTAAGGGGTGAACCCATGAACCGCAGGCTTAAATTTAATTTAGCAACCCATCAATCAAGCTGCTGGGTGTCAAAGCCAAGGGCTAGCTGGGACTGTTTCAGTAGAGGGCACTCAAGTCCCAGAAATCTGCATTTGCCAGCCCCGGTATATTCACTCTCTGGTATTTTAGGAGACGACTTTAGCACATGAATCTCAGTAATGTGAGCACTGGGCCTCATAACTCACATTGATTGTGGTTATATTACACCTGATGCATATAAATCTAAACAAAATGCATGTGGATGTAGCTAATTCAAGTGAACCAGTTTAGATACCATTAAAAAAAATAAAGAGAAGCCTCTTTTTCTTCATTAGCATGGAAAAATACCATGGCTATAGAAATGCTTATGTCTGTTTCTGCAAGGTTCATACTTCTGCTGCTGCTCTGAAGCATAGATCTTATTTGAAAAGGTCCTTTGTCAATCAGCATTTTTCCCCAGATATTAATAATTTCACCATTTTTTCCACTTTTGCAAGCAGTTCCTTTTCATACTCAAAAATAAAAAGCCTTACATTCATAGTCCTTAGAACATCCATAAATATACAGCTTATTTGTAGGTGAAAGAACCGAGATTTTTATGTATATAAAAGAAACCCATAAAATGTACACGAGTATCAGAGTCCTATCCGTGTAATAAATGGGGCTCTAAATACCACACACATTCACTGTAAAAAAGGCAGCATGAAAATCTAACATATCCAAATGTCCTCATCACAAACTAGGAATATCCAAATGACTTCTTCTAAATGGTACACTATGTTCATAAGTTATAAATACAGCGGAGAATTTGCACTAATTAATACACTACAAAATGATGAATTACTGCATTAAAGCTATTTTCACAGCGGTTGTGAACTGCACAAACACCTTACAGTTTTAGCATCGCTGTAACGGATCGTAGAAGAACACCAAAGCCCTTCCGCTACCTTTGGCTGTCCTTCAGCAAGGCAACAGCCACAGACCCCCGAACAAGGTCCTAACTCACCCCAAGGTGAGCTCACCCCCTCCCGAGGAAAGGCTTGACCCACGCGCCCCGGCCAAGCGGGTCAGCCCAGCGTCCCCCCGAGCAGGGCCGGGCAGCACTTACCCCCCCAGTCGCACCGAGACGGAGCTCCGGTCCTGCGAGGTGCTCTCTTAGTCTGGCAGATCTCTTCTCTTTTTTTTCAGCCATTTTGTCTTTGCTATAATTACATGCTAACGACCTAGCTCCACCGCAGCTGATGGAGGGCTTGGCCGCATGGTCATTGCTCGCAGGTGTGGGCCTGGGGGCAGTGCATCCACAGGCAACACATGAAGCCAAATAGTCTCTGTGGGGAAAAAAAATCATCTAAGGCAACTATGGTGCAACATCTAAGAGTAGTTTCAAAATTATCCCTCTTTTTAACCACGACGTGGAACAGCCCTGGGATCCCCTTGGAGGGCAGCAGGACGCTGGCAGGAGAGGGGAGCGCGGCCAAGCCCCACGCGAGGGACGGGGCTGGGGGACAGCGGGGGAGCTCAGGAGTACGAAGGAAGGGAAGCACAGCCCTGATCTGCGGTTCTGTACGCCGCTCGGATTGCTTCGGGAAGGAAAGGCCCTGCAAGCCCGGAGGCCTGCAGCTACAGAGCGCACCTCTGCCTGGTGCCCAGGCACCTTTGGTTTGCTATCCAGCTTCTGCTGAACGATTGCCCCTGTCCTGCCTTTCTGAGCAGCACAGGCTTCCTTCTCTGACCTACATACACGCCGAGGACTATTCGTGACCTCCACACACCCATCAGATACTAAAATCAAATAAGATAACAAGAAATAAACTATTTGTGCTGGTACTGCAGTAGGATCCCGAGGCTGACGCCAAGGTTAGAGCCTTATTACCACCTGGTGCCAGGAAAAAGGCAAGAAGCAGCACCTTGACACTAATAACCTAACAGAATGTATCATCCTAGCTACATTTTAATTTAAACAGTCCACAAAACCTGAGTCTCTTGTCCAGAGCTATTGAAAACCGAACTCTCTTCTCTACATGCTGGAGTCTGCAAAGAGTAAAGAACAGCCCCAGAAGAGCGAGCCCTCTCCCTCCCAATAGGTTTGTGGGGCTTTTTTATCTCCAGGTGCAAAGATTCACCAGGTTGTGACATTTAATTTTATAACGTTCACAGAAACAGCTGTCCTTCATTTAAGCAATAAGTAAAGAAAGTTTCTTCCATGCCCTTTCGCTAAATCTTATCCTTTTTGGTGCCATGAGGGATAAAAATATCCTTAACACGAGACACCCTTTTCTGTAACTGTCTTTGACACTGGTAAGAAGATTTCGTGCTGGACGCTGGGGGCTCTGCCTGCCCGTGATGAACAGTAACACCTCAGCGAGCGAACTCCTGCAGGGTGCTTTGCAGATGCTGCGTAACGCCTTTGCCTCTCTGGCTTGGCTCTTAGGTAGGAGTAAGGAAGAGCCTCCTCCAGCCTGCGGTAGGGCTGGGAGCCCAGGCCAGGCTCAGGGGGACCTCCCCATCGCCCACATCAAGCACGAGCCAAACCACGGCACCGGGTGCCCGGGGAGGCTTTAGGAAGAGTTACGCCAGCATCTCCAGGAGGCATGCAGATCCCCCAGAGACTCTTCCAGCTTTTCCTTACGATTCCATGATGACGACAGCTATCAGATACCCTGGCCGATCCCCCCGCTGCTCCTGCTGTACAGAAGCAGCCAGAGATCAGACACCGCCACGATGGGCGCAGGGGATGCCCCCGCGGGTCTGCCTCACCGCAGCAGCCCGTGTGCTCGCTGCCTGCTGTCAGATGCAACACCCAGAAACTTTTCTTTGAGTTTTATGATTTACCTACGTCCCCTCCTCCGGTTCATACATTCAGGCTAACGGAGGCTGGTCGGGGATGGATGGGTCGCTGGAGCGCAGGACAGCGATCGGCTTTTCTCCCAGCGCAGAGCACGCCGAGCTTGCTGCTGGGGAAAGCGATGGACAAGGAAAATTAAAGGATGAACAGAGTAATAGTATGTTTGGAAGAAAATTAAAGATTTGCTCTTCAGATGTTCCAGGCGATGTAGTTAGCAGACAGCTGGCAAATGGGAGCGATTGGAAATGATGGAATAGATCAAATTATTTAAATGAGAAAAAATAAATTCGCCCTAGCCTAGCCCAGCAAGTTGACAAAGCAGCCTACTTATCCGCTGCATGTGCAGCCCTTTGTCTCTGTCACCGAGGTCATTAAACCCCCGGCTGCGCAGCCCGGGCTGGGCGCCCGCCCCCGGGTACCGGCGAGGATCCTGAGCCCCCGGAGAGGGGAGATGCTCTGCCCCCGGAGAGGAAGGATCCTGAGCCCCCGGAGAGGGGAGATGCTCTGCCCCCGGAGAGGAAGGATCCTGAGCCCCCGGAGAGGGGAGATGCTCTGCCCCCGGAGAGGAAGGATCCTGAGCCCCCGGAGAGGGGAGATGCTCTGCCCCCGGAGAGGAAGGATCCTGAGCCCCCGGAGAGGGGAGATGCTCTGCCCCCGGAGAGGAAGGATCCTGAGCCCCCGGAGAGGGGAGATGCTCTGCCCCCGGAGAGGAAGGATCCTGAGCCCCCGGAGAGGGGAGATGCTCTGCCCCCGGAGAGGAAGGATCCTGAGCCCCCGGAGAGGGGAGATGCTCTGCCCCCGGAGAGGAAGGATCCTGAGCCCCCGGAGAGGGGAGATGCTCTGCCCCCGGAGAGGAAGGATCCTGAGCCCCCGGAGAGGGGAGATGCTCTGCCCCCGGAGAGGAAGGATCCTGAGCCCCCGGAGAGGGGAGATGCTCTGCCCCCGGAGAGGAAGGATCCTGAGCCCCCGGAGAGGGGAGATGCTCTGCCCCCGGAGAGGAAGGATCCTGAGCCCCCGGAGAGGGGAGATGCTCTGCCCCCGGAGAGGAAGGATCCTGAGCCCCCGGAGAGGGGAGATGCTCTGCCCCCGGAGAGGAAGGATCCTGAGCCCCCGGAGAGGGGAGATGCTCTGCCCCCGGAGAGGAAGGATCCTGAGCCCCCGGAGAGGGGAGATGCTCTGCCCCCGGAGAGGAAGGATCCTGAGCCCCCGGAGAGGGGAGATGCTCTGCCCCCGGAGAGGAAGGATCCTGAGCCCCCGGAGAGGGGAGATGCTCTGCCCCCGGAGAGGAAGGATCCTGAGCCCCCGGAGAGGGGAGATGCTCTGCCCCCGGAGAGGAAGGATCCTGAGCCCCCGGAGAGGGGAGATGCTCTGCCCCCGGAGAGGAAGGATCCTGAGCCCCCGGAGAGGGGAGATGCTCTGCCCCCGGAGAGGAAGGATCCTGAGCCCCCGGAGAGGGGAGATGCTCTGCCCCCGGAGAGGAAGGATCCTGAGCCCCCGGAGAGGGGAGATGCTCTGCCCCCGGAGAGGAAGGATCCTGAGCCCCCGGAGAGGGGAGATGCTCTGCCCCCGGAGAGGAAGGATCCTGAGCCCCCGGAGAGGGGAGATGCTCTGCCCCCGGAGAGGAAGGATCCTGAGCCCCCGGAGAGGGGAGATGCTCTGCCCCCGGAGAGGAAGGATCCTGAGCCCCCGGAGAGGGGAGATGCTCTGCCCCCGGAGAGGAAGGATCCTGAGCCCCCGGAGAGGGGAGATGCTCTGCCCCCGGAGAGGAAGGATCCTGAGCCCCCGGAGAGGGGAGATGCTCTGCCCCCGGAGAGGAAGGATCCTGAGCCCCCGGAGAGGGGAGATGCTCTGCCCCCGGAGAGGAAGGATCCTGAGCCCTCAGAGAGGGGGGATGCTCTGCCCCCGGAGAGGGGAGATGCTGAACCCTGGAGAGGGGGGCTGCGGTGCCCCTGGAGAAGGGGATGCTGAGCCTCTGGAGAGGGGGGGTGCTGAGAGCCCTCAGAGAGGGGAGATACTCTGCCCCCGGAGAGGGGAGATGCTGAGCCCCCAGAGAGGAGGGATGCTCTGCCCCTGGAGAGGGCGGCTGTGGTGCCCGGTGCGAGGAGGGCTGCCGTGCCCCTGGAGAAGGGGATGCTGTGCCCCTGGAGAGGGGAGATGCTGTGCCTGCTACACGGAGGGCTGCGGTGCCCGGTGCGAGGAGAAGTGCTGTGCCAGTGCAAGGAGGGGTGCTGTGCCGCCGCGAGGAGAGGCGCTGTGCCAGTGCAAGGAGGGGTGCTGTGCCGCCGCGAGGAGAGGCGTTGAGCCTGCTGCAATAGGGGTGCTGTGCAGAGGTGCTTTGCCCCCGGGCCAGAGGTGCCCAGCACCAGGGACGGGCAGTCTGGGGGGCCCGCGGCACCAGCCCCGCTGCCCAGAGGATGCCAGTGGGCTGGCTACGCCGCAGCCGCTGCTGAGGGCCAGGCGTGTTTCATTAAATTGCTGAGGTTCTGGGGAAAATTAATTTTTAATAATGTTACATAAAGTAATTGCACAGATAACAGCTTGGGCAAGAGTCTATGATCTTTCTTTCTATGATCTTTCTTTTTCTAATTAAAAGAGATACTTGTTTTAAGCGTGTTATGTAAAAAACGGTGCTGATTTCCTGTGACATCCCATGTACTTTGCCATCGGTACACATTCCCAGGGATTTGCTGTCTGCCTAGTAAAAATTATAAGGACAGCTTTACCTGTCTTTCCAGGGACCAAATTCTAACCCAGAAAAACTAGTGAAAACTGAATAGATTTGTGAATATTTTAAAGTGGAAAAAATGGGTCTGATTTATCCCAGTGCAACTGCACAGCAGCAATGTGAAAGCCAGTAAGAGAAAAACGCTTGTCCTGAGGGACAGCCGCTTTCTGAAGGGAAACACTGTCACCTCCAGCACGGTTTGGAGCGACCGCATGGCCCAGATCATCTCACAGACAAGGGCTTGATTCCTGCAGGGTGAACATCTGCTCTCCCCTGGACTGCTGTGAACCAGGCTCTCCAGGCTGACGTGGCCCTGTGCATGTTGCAGTGCCAGAAATGTTGGTGGAAAAGGTTAATGGACCTGCCTCTGGGGCCTGGGCCCAGGCGGCTGCTGAACTTTTACTCGAGCCAAGCTGCTTGGTATGCTCCGCCACAGCCTGGAACAGCTGGAAATGTTGTGTGCGACAGAAGCCCACTCCCAGGAAAGCTCCCGTTGCTGCTGACGCCGGGCTTTGCCAGTCCCACCACGCGAGCAGGGGAGGAGGCGTCCCGCTGTGCCGTGGCAGAGCCCCCCCCCATCGATCACCAGCCCGTCCCCACTGAGAGCACCGCAGTGCAAACGGGTCCCAGGGCGCAGACCCCCGTCGGGACCGTAAGCTGGGTGCTTGGGGGGTCCTGTCGCAGCCGGGAGCGCTGGGCTTGCAGCTCGTCCTGCTTTCGGCTTGGCAGCAGCGGGCCTGATTCTTGGTGGGCAGACCCCGCGTGCTGCCAGGCTGATGCTCCGGAGGCGGCGTGCAGGGGGCTGCCGCTGCGCAAGCAGACGCTCGCAGGGGAACGGGCTGAAGTCACGGGGGGGTGCCGAGACCTCTGGGAATACCAGCGTGGCTCGTGGGAGACGTTCGGGCCCAGGAGCATCCCTGTGGCTCCGTGGAGATGTTTAGCCTCACGTCCAGGTGCCTCAGTTGTCCTGAAAATGGATTTTCTAGCCAGGAATCGAAGCAATCGCACAAAAGGCTGGAGGAGCTTTCAACCCGGCAACTGCTGCCAGCCCTTCACCGAGATCACTTGGGTTTGCTGTAGCTCCGCTCCCCTTCACCTGCGGCTCCCCGGCTCGGCGGCCGCCCCAGGAGCAGGGCGAGGGGGTGACCTGCGCTGGGCTGGTGCAAAGGCAGCGAGGCGGCGGGCAGGCAGGCAGGCAGGGAAGCCGGGCGGGGGAGAGG